TAATGAAGACTTCATGGTTTGGGATTTTAGTAATTAAATGACTAAATTGTTCTCTGTTCCTTTCTGCAGTTTTAAATTTAAATTTTAAAAACTGGAACTTTGTTCCAAATATTGACTCTATCTTTTAAGTATGGGTTGTAAATGGTCACAACCATCCAGACAAAGGAAAGTAGCCCTTTGAGTCAGAATCTCAGACTGCAGACTTGTCATCTCATTGTCTTTGATTCTCTGCTTATGGAATTGAAAATGAGATCTTGGTTATATTTTCTGAGACAACATTTGAATGTTTCATAGTTTTTTGTTTTTTGTGTGTTTTTTTTGGTACCGGGGATCGAACTCAGATCCTTGCACTTGTGAGGCAGGTGGTAGGACCACTGGGCTAAATCCCCAGCACTGAATGTTTCATAGTTTAAAAAAGAACTTTGGATTTTTGTTTGTTTTTTCTTTCTGAGACAAGATCTTGCTACCTAGTTTAGGCTGGCCTTGATCTCACCAAATGGTCTTGAGCTTTTGGCAGTTCTCTTGCCTCAGCCTCTTGGGTGTTGGAATTATAGGCATGTGCCACCACACCTGGCTATAAAAGAACGAGAATTTTGGACTAAGGTTTTATAATAAAGCACGGAGAAGCTGCTGCTCCTTGTTTGTTATGCAATATGTACATTATATGGCATTTCATTGTGAGAGTGTATCAAACAACAGTTAGCCAAAGACAACTAAATGGAACTCATTTTTGGGGGGGTATTTTTAGATTTTAATGTAATTCCAAACTCATGAAAAAGTTGTAAAAACAGGACAAGGAATTCCACTATACCTTCTTTCCTGATTCAGAATGTTTATTATATTTGGCCTCATTTGCTTTTACACACACACACACACACACACACACACACACACACACATGAGTGTAAAACTATTTAAGAGTAAATTTGAGGGCTGGGGATTTAGCTCAGTGGTTACATCGCCTGTACCACAAGTGCAAGGACCCAAGTTTGATCCCCAGTACCAAAAAAAAAGAGAGTAAATTTAAGACATCATATTCCTGTACTGCCAAATAATGAAATGTATATTTCCTGGAAACCCATTAATTATGGATCTTTGGATGACTTTTTTAAGCTACATCTTTTTTTTTATCTTTATTAGCTTGTAGTTTACCACCTAGACTTATTGATTTCTGTCATATTTGATGGTTTTTTTAGTAGCTCTTGAACTATGTGACATTGTAAATGTCACATTTATTTAAAAAATTTTAAAATACTATGCAGC